AATGCCTATTTTTTGGAATTTATGATCGCAATTCCAAATTCTGTGCTGATTAGCACAGAATTTCGTTTAAGGGATAATAATAATTTTTTTGTTATATATTAACATTACAATTTAATAATAATGATCAAAATGATTTAATTTGAATAATTAAACCCATCTATTAAATAACCTTTCCACGAAAATAATTAAATTTTTTTTTTGGGTTTATTACCATGTGATTATATCACTTGTGTGTGGGATATTTTAATAGTAAAAATTTATTTGAAAAAAATAATATTTCATTTATTTATAAAAAAGGACTAAAATATTTTATAACTGCCCTATGATATAGGTAGATTAGATAGATTGATTTATATTAAACCACCAAATTTTCAAGAAAGATTATCAATATTAAATTTATTGAGTAAAAGATTCAATTTTAATAATAATCAAATAAATTTTCATGAAATCTCACTAAAAACACAGAGTTTCACAGGAGCTGATTTAAAATTTTTATTAGAAAGAGCAGCTTTTATTGCCTTTAAAAAATATAAACTAAACAAATCTCAAACTGATTTTAAGGTTGGTGTGATATATATATGTATAATTCTACTAATAATAATCACTATTATTGTTATTATTGTTGTAATATTTAAAAATTCTATTAATTCAACCTGTAATTAGAAACAAATCAATCAAACTGACATATTGGAAGCATTATCAACATTTCAGCCATCAATTAGTTTAAAACAATTGGGAAAATATGATAAATTCAGTCAATCCTTTATCTAACGATTTATGAGTTTGATATCCACTATACTAATTTTATATATTGTATACAAATTAAAGATGTATGAATAAACGTACTGATTGTGTACAATTTGAATACGATATGAATTTTCCAATTGTACTGATATCACGTGACCGAAGAAATTGTGTATCAAACAACCAAAATCGGAGAATAGATACCAATTTTAAAATCAATGATGATTTATTTATCGCATAACAATTCCAAATTAATTATATTATTACATTACATCACCACTATTTTTTTTATAACTTGTATATATGAGCATACGTATGCGAAATAAATAAATATAAATAAATATAAATAAATAAATAAATAAATAAATAAATAATAAACTAATCGATTGATAAGCGTATGCATCGGATGATGTCAAAATTTTTATGTTTCCTACTATGCTGAATAAAACGATTTTGATCCTCAAAAATGTATTATAACCACTTTTGGTTCATTCTAATACTCACTATGCCAAAAAAGATTAATTTAACCCAAAGGGATGCAAGAATTCAGAGCGGGGAGGCGAAGGCTCTGAAATATATCAAGGTTGTATTTGGGCTCTTGAGGAAGTCTGTTGTTGAAAGTCTCTTTTATGTTCAGATCCTTTCAGTCTCCACTATGTCCGAAACTTTTAACCTTTACTTAATAAGTCAAACTTAATAAAATCCAAGTAAACTTGTGAAGTCTTGACAGCTCAAGAAAAAGATTTATACGGATCTATTCTCAAAATGATTTTAAATTAGTAATCATAAATTTTTTTTAAATGACATCTCTGTAAATGACTACATTTGCAACAAACCTTCAATTGCAAAACGTAAACTAGAAGCTGGGAACCCAGCTGGTATGTATTTTATTGATTTTTTAATTACAGTATATATACATTTCAATCACAGTTTTTCAAAGAACTCAAGATGCAGATGTCATCTTGTGATGTGTATACAGCTACTACAAATAATCCTGAGAAGATTGACAATTCTTTACTTAGACCTGGTAAAAAAATTTATTTGAAAAAAATAATATTTCATTTATTTATAAAAAAGGACTAAAATATTTTATAACTGCCCTATGATATAGGTAGATTAGATAGATTGATTTATATTAAACCACCAAATTTTCAAGAAAGATTATCAATATTAAATTTATTGAGTAAAAGATTCAATTTTAATAATAATCAAATAAATTTTCATGAAATCTCACTAAAAACACAGAGTTTCACAGGAGCTGATTTAAAATTTTTATTAGAAAGAGCAGCTTTTATTGCCTTTAAAAAATATAAACTAAACAAATCTCAAACTGATTTTAAGGTTGGTGTGATATATATATGTATAATTCTACTAATAATAATCACTATTATTGTTATTATTGTTGTAATATTTAAAAATTCTATTAATTCAACCTGTAATTAGAAACAAATCAATCAAACTGACATATTGGAAGCATTATCAACATTTCAGCCATCAATTAGTTTAAAACAATTGGGAAAATATGATAAATTCAGTCAATCCTTTATCTAACGATTTATGAGTTTGATATCCACTATACTAATTTTATATATTGTATACAAATTAAAGATGTATGAATAAACGTACTGATTGTGTACAATTTGAATACGATATGAATTTTCCAATTGTACTGATATCACGTGACCGAAGAAATTGTGTATCAAACAACCAAAATCGGAGAATAGATACCAATTTTAAAATCAATGATGATTTATTTATCGCATAACAATTCCAAATTAATTATATTATTACATTACATCACCACTATTTTTTTTATAACTTGTATATATGAGCATACGTATGCGAAATAAATAAATATAAATAAATATAAATAAATAAATAAATAAATAAATAAATAATAAACTAATCGATTGATAAGCGTATGCATCGGATGATGTCAAAATTTTTATGTTTCCTACTATGCTGAATAAAACGATTTTGATCCTCAAAAATGTATTATAACCACTTTTGGTTCATTCTAATACTCACTATGCCAAAAAAGATTAATTTAACCCAAAGGGATGCAAGAATTCAGAGCGGGGAGGCGAAGGCTCTGAAATATATCAAGGTTGTATTTGGGCTCTTGAGGAAGTCTGTTGTTGAAAGTCTCTTTTATGTTCAGATCCTTTCAGTCTCCACTATGTCCGAAACTTTTAACCTTTACTTAATAAGTCAAACTTAATAAAATCCAAGTAAACTTGTGAAGTCTTGACAGCTCAAGAAAAAGATTTATACGGATCTATTCTCAAAATGATTTTAAATTAGTAATCATAAATTTTTTTTAAATGACATCTCTGTAAATGACTACATTTGCAACAAACCTTCAATTGCAAAACGTAAACTAGAAGCTGGGAACCCAGCTGGTATGTATTTTATTGATTTTTTAATTACAGTATATATACATTTCAATCACAGTTTTTCAAAGAACTCAAGATGCAGATGTCATCTTGTGATGTGTATACATGCCGTCATTAGATATTTCTATTAAATCTAGCTCCTAAACTTAATATGGAGAATTCAAATAATAAAAACCCTCACAACATTTGAAATTAATTAAATTACCATTAAATAAAAATATAGAGAGCTTTTTTTATTTGAAAAATCCTAATTATTACTAAAAAAAAGGCTTCATACTTTTATTCAATAACTTGTGTCTTTAATTTGAAGTTTATAAATTGTTTCTTTCAAAAGTTATGAGGGGTTGAGTTTAATGCGTTTTTACTGCAGTGCAGGTCATCAAGGATCATTCAAATTCAAACTACTAAGGCTTTCTTTTTTATTAATAAACTGAAAAAACTCCATGTTTGCAACAATAAAATGGGGCCTTAGTGGTTTGAAATTGCACGAATTTTGAAAAGGATCTGCAAAAAAATCCTCAATAACGAAAATTAATGTGGTTTCATATGTTTCATGTTTGTATATAATACATATGGTATGTGTATAACCATTTTATCAACACTGATACAATACGACCTGCACTCAAAAAAATTTTCGTACTAAAGTTTAATTCTTTGGTGACACGAGATTATTGATAAAAAAAAAAAAATCCGAGAAAATTGAAGGTGTATAACATTATTATCCAATCAAATTTGAGACAGTTTCTAAATTTGTACTAGTTGCACGATGAAATTTACACGCCGATCATCAAAAAGAATTTTATTTATTTACTAAATGTGGATTATCATTTTACTGTTACGCATTGTTCTTTTACTGTACTATTTGCGCATTGATGATAGTTGTTAAACTATTATTATTGTTCTTTGCTGATAAAAAATAAAATGTGGATTATCGTCTTAAATGGTGAAAATTTACTGTTACGCGTTTGATAAAAATAATTTAATAAATGTAATAAGACTTTGTAGACTATTTATTAGTCATCAAAAATTTTTATCACTAGAAATTTGATTAGATTATTTTAATAAAAAATCTGCTGTTCGCATTTGATGATAGTCGGTATAATTATCTGTTCTTTGTTAATTCGAATTATTAATTGGGATTAATAAAAATGATATATATGTGTGTATATCCTTTCTCCTGTCATTATCAATAAAACTTTTATAAAGTATAAAAAATAAAAAACAACATCTTTTGTTCACTTCAATATTTCTTTTTTTATGACATTCATATAGAACTGATTGATAGATAATTTCAGAGTTTGAAAAAAAAAGTAATGATAGATAATTTTTTAATGTCCAAGGAAATCGAAATTATCAAGTTTTTTACATCAAGGACTGTTTCATGTGTAGGTGGACTAGTAGCGCACCCAAGTGGTGATGGGATGACGTAGGGTGGCTGGTTGAAAAATAATTCAATTTTCAAAAAATACAAGTTTTTTTCAAATTTTTTGCGTTGCAAACAAAACCAAAAAAAAATCGAATTTACTATATATACTTTTCATGATCACTAATTAGTAAATTAAAATTTCTTGAATAAAGAAATTTCATAGATGATGTTATCAATACTAACACCACTAGTAAAGAGAAAAACAGGCTTCTTCCCGTTTTTACTAACATTTTTATTGTTGTTAAATACAATAATGTTAAATGCTACTGCACAACACAATAATATTGGAATGAAAATAAGAGATGGTCCATTTTCGTAAGTAATTTATAATTTTGCATTGTTAAAAATAAAGAAAAAACTCTGTTTACGGATAATAATAATAATAATAATGATAAATAATCTATTCCATTCAGTCAGTATACCACGCCTGCAACAACATTTGTAGTTGTTCAACCAACCGTTTTACAAACTAAGACGACAACAAATGAAGCAATAACATCAATAGAAGAAACTCCAGAACCGTCAGAAGAAACTCCAGAACCGTCAGAAGAAAATCCAGAACCGCCAGAAGAAACTCCAGAACCGCCAGAAGAAACTCCAGAACCGCCAGAAGAAACTCCAGAATCGACCACATCATCACAAGCACCAAAAGAAACTCCAGAATCGACTACATCATCACAAGATCTAACTACAAAATAATATATATTTGTAATGAAATATATAAAATGGAAAAAACAAAATTGATGTGTAGGTGGACTAGTAGCGCACCCAAGTGGTGATGGGATGACGTAGGGTGGCTGGTTGAAAAATAATTCAATTTTCAAAAAATACAAGTTTTTTTCAAATTTTTTGCGTTGCAAACAAAACCAAAAAAAAATCGAATTTACTATATATACTTTTCATGATCACTAATTAGTAAATTAAAATTTCTTGAATAAAGAAATTTCATAGATGATGTTATCAATACTAACACCACTAGTAAAGAGAAAAACAGGCTTCTTCCCGTTTTTACTAACATTTTTATTGTTGTTAAATACAATAATGTTAAATGCTACTGCACAACACAATAATATTGGAATGAAAATAAGAGATGGTCCATTTTCGTAAGTAATTTATAATTTTGCATTGTTAAAAATAAAGAAAAAACTCTGTTTACGGATAATAATAATAATAATAATGATAAATAATCTATTCCATTCAGTCAGTATACCACGCCTGCAACAACATTTGTAGTTGTTCAACCAACCGTTTTACAAACTAAGACGACAACAAATGAAGCAATAACATCAATAGAAGAAACTCCAGAACCGTCAGAAGAAACTCCAGCTAGTCAAACATCTGCATCAGTCTGCCATTTGTTGCACCAGAAGTTTAAGTTGCAAAAAATTTTATGTGAACTAAAAACATGCATATTGTTCCTAAAGTAAGCCTAATTCATGCTGTATAAAAAATCAAAACGAACTTATATTTCAAAAATAAATATTGAGATCTTTTATAATTGATAATCTTTTTGCTTTTTGAGAAAATTAAATATAAAATGCCTACTTCAAGGCAAGAAACCCAATGTCAAGCTATATTACATTTATGGAATAATGGTGTATGTGAGGCCAAAGAAATAAATAAGTGACATAAGTTCCTCTTTCTACTGTCTATGATAACATAAAAAAATTAAAAACAACTGGTAATTTGATCATGTTAGAGGAAATGGCATCAAAAAAAATTACTGCAGAAACATCAAGAGCTTTGGGACAATATATATGCAGAGATTCATCAATTTCAACTAGAACATTGGCAACAAAATTATTGGTAAATCATGTGCAAGTATCTTATTCAACTATCTCTAGACATATACATGAAAAGGGGTATGAAAAGCCCTGCTAATGGCTACACCAATTGTTGATAATATCTCATAAAGAAAACCATGTACAATGGACCCAACAACATCTTAATGATGATTGGAATAAAACATTATTTACCGATGAGACATCCTTTTTATTAACAAATGTTTTATTAATTATTCAATAGTTGTATAGGAGTGATCGAAGTAAGCATTAAGGACAGGATCTATGAACAAAATTTACTAACAAACGTTTTATCAATTATTCAATAGTTGTATAGGAGTAATCGAAGTAAGCATTAAGGACAAGATCTATGAACAAAATATACTAACAAACATTTTATCAATTATTCAATAGTTTGTGTAGGTACATCAAATATGTTTTACGAAGTAAAAAATTACGCGCTCAAAAATAGGGCTTGTGAAACATATTTGGCCAATAAAAATCTAGAATTTTTATTATATTTTAATATTGATAATAAAAAAATAAAAGCCGGGTCATCGAAAAATTTTTAGTTATGCGCCTAATAAATATATAATAAATATTTACAAGATAAACCAATCCCCACTCCTCAATCTATTATTTAACTCGTAGTAGTAGTAGCTAAAGGAATACCGATTGCTAAATTATTGGTAGGTAATCTACTTGTTATAGTTGGTTGATCTGGTTGTGTCCTAAAAATTCAATGTAAAAATGATTTAATAAATGATCTTCAATGATAAATATGCAATTAAATTATCAAACAGTTACATTATATCTTTGGCAAATGGCTTCCAAGTTGATGAAGTTGGAACATTATTATTTGTAGTAGCAGGAGTAGGAGTCGCAGCTGTGGTGGTATCATCTGAAGTTGATTCTTTTTTTGTTGCAAATTTTGCTTTTGAGGTAGTTGTTGTTGTTGCTGCCGACGCTGCTGCTGCAGTTTTGGAAGCTGTGATTGTTGTTGTTGTTGTTGTAGTTGTTGTTGATTTTATTTTTATTTTTGTTTTTGTTTTAGTTTTTATTTTTATTTTTGTTTTTGTTTTTGTTTTTGTTATAGTTTTGGTTTTTATGGTTGTTGTTGCAGCTGGAGCTTTTGTACTTGTAGTTGTTTCTTTTTTTCTTTTTGATGTTGTCGAACCTGGAGTTTCTTTTGGTACTTGTGATGACGTGGTCGATTCTGGAGTTTCTTTTGGT